CCCCAAAACCCCAAAACCCCAAAACCCCAAAACCCCAAAACCCCATATCAATGAGGAAATGTTGGATTAATATAATAATTTGGATCAAAAATGAATCGTCAAGTACAACAAACACAAATCTTCTTTGGAATGGAAAAGTTCGAAAATCCTCTTGCCAAAAAGAGAATATTTGATAAAAGCAAAAAGAATATTGCCAGAATTAGGGAGACCCTTCTATCGTTAGCTAAAAAGGAGATTGATCACTTTAATTCCCTCAGCTGTAAAATTACTATCATCCAATCTCAGGAGGAATGAAGGAAGCATCTAGGGCTTGCCATTAAAAATAAATTCATGGTGATAGGAGTATCGCAAGGATCAACTTGAGTTGAGTCTTCTAGATCAATTGGAGACTCATACGATGATGAAGCTTGCTCTGTTTCATCGGACTCAGATTCAAATGAAGTCGATCTCTCCAATCTCATTGAAGAGCAAGTTGAGATTGATATCATGGATGGGAAGAGTGGTAAAGTTCTAACAAATTCTGTCAACTAAATCTCCTAAATACAAATCGCCACATTGTGCTCCGATGTGTCTGGAGCTACTAATAAATTTTAAGTTTTCCAAGTATAATACTATTGTCAAAATTTCCTCTCCTCATCTATCTCCGACTCTTATAAAAATAAACTGCTTTTGATTTTAAATGAGACTGAGGTATCTCAAACCCTAAATGACCAAGATAAGGTATGAATGAAATACCATAAAAGTAATCATATGAAATTATATTGCTTCTAAATAAAAACAGTCCAAATTCCGCATTAACCATTTCACAATACTAAGCCGAAGGCTTTCAAATTCACCAATAAATCCTATCCAATTCATGCAAACACAGTTATAGTTTTAGGAAAATGATTTGTTAGGTTGAGGATCTACAAATACCCTGAGTTTTTACTATTTTATTAAAAAATTCGCACAATTTTTAAAATATCAACCATTTGTCACTTCAAAGCTACTACTTTGGTCAATATTCCAATATTGCTAATCTATAACTAAATTTTCCCGGAAGCATTTCTTTTAGGTTTCTGAGGTTATTTAAAAGTAATTTGGCCCTTCTCCTATTCTCTCTAAGCTATGAAATTTATGTAGAACTAAGACAATTAGTGATTATTGGCAGTCCACTAGTCGTAGTTCTTATTAAGCCTGAGATTCCTGGATTTTAATATTACATATGTAATCGTTATTATATATGCCTGGGTATGAAATATTCATATGGCAAGCTTAGAGGCCTACAGATTGTAGCCTCTTGGGGGATGCTCTTTGGAAATATAGTGGTTGGGTGTGGCTGGATTAGGCCTTTTGGGGTGGTTAGCAGGGTGTTCTGGTCAGGTGTTTGAAGAAGAGTAAAAATAGTAAACTGAGGAATCCAGGTTTAGTTATGGAGATTAGTAAGAAGAGATTTAGGTAGAAGTTTTGGAAAGATTTGACCTGAAAAGTGATATTTAGGTTGTATAAGGGCTGGGATTAATGAGACAACACTCATAAAGGCTGTTTTGTATTTACAGGTTCACTAATTTAAACAAAGTCCGCAACTAGCCTATGCGAATTAATTATGATCATTTTACACAGAACTAACTGTTGGAATGAAATATTTAGAGTGCAGATAGTTGCACCATAATGACATAAACAAAGGAAATAATGGTTAGGTCCATCGTAGATATAATAGGGTAGAAATTATTGATTGATGTGTTTAAAAAGTTATCAGGGCATTTAGAAATAAATGAAGAGGAAAAGTAAGTAAAAATCTACAAAGCTCTAACTAACACTCAACATTCTAAACCCTTGAAATCTCCAAATTCTTCTTCTACACCCATTCCTAATCCCTTAAAACTTCCTTTTAAAGCCCTTCTGGCAAGTTCTGAGGTCAAATTTTTATTCATAGTGGGTTTATGGAATAGGTTCAAGCGAGATGATGGTGGTGGGGTTTTGGGGTTTTGGGGTTTTGGGGTTTTGGGG